CCAGCTGAGCTCTCTTGCTTGCCCTGGTTTAGGTTGGGATTGCCTGGCAGCAGGGCTGCAGTTCCTCCAAGACCGTGTCCAGAGGTGGCATCGCCCCTTTGCTTCTCTCCCAGGCTTGCTGCAGGGAAGGCAAAACCCCAGAGCATCAGCATTTGCCTGAAGGCTGCTGAACTCTGGGTTGTAGGTGCCTGTTTTCAGGCTGGCAGGCAGGAGGGCCGTGCGCTGCCTGCTCCCCAGGCAAGCTGGCCGCACACATGTGGAGCCAAGGGCTGCTCTTGGTGGGCTTACTGGGTACGGCTGCCCCTGGGAGCCAGCAGCCTGGTCCCAGCCGGGCTCTCCAGCCCTGCTGACTGGGGGGTTTAGCCTGCAGAGCCCAAGTTGACACTGGAGAAGAGGAAAACATTTCCTGTCTCGTTAATCCAATATTTGAATTAGAGTTGGGCTTGGAGAGGAACCTCGTGTCTCTGCAGAGGTGAGACCTCACATACTCCTGCACCTGAGTTAACACTGCTCCAAAGCAGGAGAAAGACCTGAAAGGGGAAATGTCCCACCTGCCGTCCCCACGATGTTGGGAACCAGCACTGAGCTGTGCTCAATGGGGCATCCTTGGATGTGGCTGCAGCCAGTGGCTGCCCTCACCCTGCTGCAGGTCCAGCCCAGGACACGTGCCAGAGCTGCTGGGGACACTAGAGACGGTTGCCCATGACAGCCGCCCTCACGATCGGGCAGGGAGATGGAGCTAACCCCCATGCTAGGTCCTCGTCCCAGTCTGCCTTGCTGCTGCCCCGGGAAGGGCAAAGATAGGGGGGCTTTGCAAAGGGATGGGGAGTTAGAACAGCAGGTGCCCTGGTGGGTGCAGTCCCCAGAGCACCTGGGAGCTCTTCCATTCGCAGCCCCGGGAGACAAAGGGATGCTGACCAAGGAGCCACCAGAAGCTCTTAGACTGATTTGCTCCCATGGGGTTTCCAGAAGAAGGCATAGCGCAGGCTGGGGTTGGAGCTGGCCCCTCTTCACCCGCAGTGGTTAGGGAGAGGCCCTGCTGGTACTGGTCTGGAAACGCTTAGGTGCAGCCGAGGCTCCCCAGGACAGGAGAGTTGGCGAGGTGACCTCTGGACGTCCTTGACTGCCAGCTGGGAGACTGTCCCTTGCGCTTTCTTGCTATTGCCACCTCTGCCGTGGTGGACATGGGCAGCGGGGCTGGCAGCGGGGCGGCGTGGCCACGGTGGGCACAGAGCCCTCCTGCTCTCCAGGCTGTCCCCAGGCAGGCACAGCACGGCTGCTGCCGGATCCGGCCAGCCTCTGCAGGGACATGAAACGAGCACAAACCCTCAGCATGAGGGTCCCTGCCGGCCTCCCAGGGCAACCCACGTGCTCCCACGATTGAAGTTAGAACCCCCCCGCAGCGGGGAAGGGCTGCCGAGCTCAGCAGTAAATGAATAAAAACGTTAATGCTCTGTCCTCTCAGCAAGCAAAGCCTCTGCAGAGGCGAAGCTCCTTGCAACACGCAAGCGAGTATCAGCTGCCTCTTTGTCCTGCAATTGCAATTGCGTTTCTGCTAGGGCTGAGGTCAGAGCTGGTTCATGCTTTAAAGAAAGCCGAGGAGGATGTCTCTGAACAGAAGCCGTTCCCCCAAATGCCCTCCACCTTTTAGCTTTGACTTTCTGTTGCAGCTGCCCGCATGGTGCTGCTGTGGGGTGCTCCTGCTGCTGGAGGGGATGCCCAGGCTTGGATGTAGGTGTGCGGCACAGGGGCACCCACGTAGCTGCCTGGGCATCCCTCTTCCCCTGAGCAGGGATTCATCAGACAAGTCGCAATGAGCTGCCGGCAGCTTTCTGGTCGCAGCCGTGCTGCAGCGCGCATGGGCCAGGTGTCTGGGCTGGAGGATGCCTCTGAATTTTTGAGCATGTCTCCATGGGTGTTTGCTGGCTGCACACCAAGAACCCATGGCTGATCTTCCTACAAACTCCCGAGTAAAATTAGAACAAAAGTTCACTCCTCTCCCAAGGCAGCAGGAAATGCAAAGGGTGGGAAAAGGGAAAGTCAGAGCAGATGAGGTCCAGTGCCCGCAGGCAGCCTCCCCATCGCCGCTGCCACCCCCTACCTGGGCAGGGGGCTGCGTCCTCCCCCACCCCTGCGGCCAGCCCAGAGGGGCTCTGCTCTCAGCGCTCAGTGCTGGGCTAGCAGTGCTCAGAGGGATGGATTCCCTCCAGAGACTCAAGTCCTCGGTGGCTATGCCAGTTAAATGCAGAGGGGGCTGGCTGGAGCTGCGGCTTCAGGCTGGGATGCCCTGCCGGGTGCCCGTGCGGGCGACCATGCTGAGCAAAGGCTCTGCCCGCTTTTTCCAAGGGGGGGGACACTGATGTAGGCAGAGCTGAGTTTTCAGGCACTCCTGACCTGTGCTAGCTGGGAATCTGGGAGCATCCGCAGCCAGCCACTGCCTCAGGATGGCTGCACACAGCGTAGCAGTGCCGGGGCACTCCTGCCTCTGGGGTGCCCAAAGAGGGCATCTCAGCAGCATTGGATCGCAGGAGTTTATTTTTACCAAGCCCTGTTGCCAATGGGGACATGTCACATCTGTGGAGTTGATCAAAAGACATCCCGAGCACTGGTGTCAGCTGCTCCTTGTGATCTCAGCACCAGGATCTTTTCCCTTGTGGCATATCAAAAGGAGCAGGACAATTTGACTGCTTTGCTATTTTTAATTGAACGCGCGCACACACACACACAGACACGCATATATATATGTATGGCTTTTCTAAAAATAAAAGTCTTTGCCTGTGTTCCCATGGGAAGATTTGGGGAGAAGGGGGAGCTGGAGTTGTTGCAAGACTTTTTCTGGAGCAGGCGCAAGAGCAGTGGCAGGAAAGCAGGGACAAGCCACAGCAGGTAAGGGACACATCTGAATGGCCAGAGGCCGTCTGATCCCAGAGCAGCCCAGGATGCCCCTGAGCAGAGGGGACAGGAAAGCTAGGGGAAAGGTAACATCTGTGTCCCCCAGAGCTGGCAGTGATGAGGATGAGGACCCTTGACCTGCTACATGTGCTCTGATCACTTGGGGAACAAAGGTTTTTGCAGAGCAGGTTTGAAGAGCCCCAGCCTTGTGGGGGCCCACGAGGGGTATCGGTATCCCAGAGCTGTTCAGGGGTTTGCATAGAATTTTTTTGTGCCCGATATGCTTGGTGGCACCATGCTCATGGACGTCAACCTGATACACGTCCCTCCCGCAGCAGGGTGGAGGGGGGATGCTGAGGAGAGCATCCCTCCAGCGCAGGGGCAGCTCCCCAGCCCCTCGCGGTACTTTGCCTGCGCCGGCGAGGCTGGGGCAGCGTCAGCAGCTCCCCACTGTCCCCAGCCCCACTGCGGCCGTGGGCACGGCCGGGCTGGCAGCCCATTACTGGGACATGGCACTGGCTCGCTATTGGGCTGTGAAGCTGCTCTCTCCTACCCTTGCTGCATCTTCCAAACCGCTCGCCCTTTCTTCCACTGCCCCTGGGATGGGACAGAGCAGAAAGCAGGTGAGAAATGCAAAATGGGAATGGGTGTGTGCACAGGAGTGTCCTTTGGTGTGGCACAGGGTGTTCTAAACCGGGTGGGGAGCATGGTACACAGGCTTCTCAGCCTATGGGAACACAATCAATAATCCCAGATTATCCCAATTAAAAACAAAGGGGAAAAGAAAGAGAGAAATGCTGTGTTTTCCATTCCTGCAGCTCGGTTTGAAATCCCTTTTCCTTCCGGTTCAGTGTCGGAGGACACCCTTCCAGGGCACTTCAGGAGGGGAGGCCCCCATGTTCTCCTGCCCCTCCAGCCTCTCTCACATGCTCAGACGTTTGCCTGCTCCAAAATCCATTTGCTCTGTAAATAAACTTGCTTCCCTCATCGCCAGAAAACTCCCCCCGGGCAGCCAATACCGGGAGGAGTCACACCAGACCTTTCCCCTCTGCGTTTGAACCGGGACACCAGCGGCAAAACCAAGCAGGACCCGAGGGCTTGGTGCAGGCAGCGAGCGGCGGTGCAGGCAGCGAGCGGCGGTGCAGGCAGGGCTGCGCGGGTGCCAGCCCTCGCTCCCATGGGTGCTGGATGCAGCCGCAGGGCTTTGTGGCTGGGCAGCGGCTGGGAGCCAGGCAGAAGCGGGGCAGGTCCCAGCTCCTTTCTGTGGTTAAATGGAGATTTTTAGCTCGGTTCTTAGAGCTCGCATCACCCCATGTGCCCCGGGACATTGATTCGTTCCCGTGCTGTTTTTCTCATCCTGCGTGTGCGATGCGGGGACCGGGGTCTGTATTGCCTTGGCAGTGCCTTGGGACATGCAGGACGTGCAGCTTCCCCGGAGGGACTGGCCCCGAGTGGTTCAGTGCCATGAGGGGGGGACGGGGACGGGGACGGGGTGTGGAGCAGCCAGGCTGACCGGGCGTGAGGCTGCCCACCGGAGCCTGGCCCCGTGGTTTGCTCTCACGTGCGCCCAAGTCTCTTGCCTCGCTCTGTTATCGCTGATCCCAAGGGCAGCTGGATAACCCTGGATGTCACCCTTAGGGCACCGAAGGCAGGAATGGCTTCAGTTCCCCCTAAGAGCACCAGCAGCGGCTTTGCTACAGTCCGGGTGGCTGTGCTGTGCCCTGAGCTTCTGCTCGCCGGAGGAGATGAAGCTCTTCCAATGTAGATGCTGCTGTTTTGACACCTGCCATGGCACGGGACACAAGGGGGGGGGTTGTGGCAGTCGTGGGGCAGCTTTCAGTAACCAGCAGTGCCAGTGCCAGGCTGTGCAAACCGATTTGCAAGATGCGCAGTAAAGAGGTGCTCTCTGTGCTCTGCACTGCTGTGTAATTGCTCCTGGAGCCACTTGCCAAAGCTTATTCGAAAGAGGGTCTGAGTAATGGGCTCGAGGGGAAGCAACAGCACGCCGGGAGAGCGGTCGTCTCCTTGGGTGGTTGCTGCTGCCTGTTGCTGCCTGCCCTCCTGGCATGGCGGTGGGCTCACCCACCCCCTTTCTCTTCTCTCCCCAGTACGAGGTGTCTGGCGAGGAGCACCTCTACTCTGACTTCCCCGAGATTGATTTGTCTCAGCTGGATGCCAGCGACTTCGACTCAGCCGGCTGCTTCAGCGAGCTGCAGTGGTGCGGGGAGCACTCGGAGACCGACTCCAGCCAGTACAGCACCGACGACTCCGAGCTCTTCCAGGTACCCCCATCCTCCTGGCACAGGGGACCCGAGGACGGAGGCAGGGGGAGGGCAGGGGAGGGGGAAAAGGAAGGAAGAAGAGGGGACACACACACAACTATTAATAGCTCCTCCCCAGCTGATTAGTGCTCCATTAATTTGCACGCCGGCTCTAAATGGGGCAAGCAGAGTAAGGCTAATGAGGAGATGGACGAGCAGAGGAGGGCTGCTGAGCCAGCCCTCCTGTGATGTATTATTAAAAGGGAATTACAGCTGGTGTGCAGCGCGTCCTGTTCTATTCCCGGGATGGCAGGGTGTGCCAGGGCGCCAGTGTGGGGGTCTCAGGGCTGTGGTGTGGGGCAGGATTGTTTATTTCCCAGGAGCAGAAAGCAGCCCTTTTCCCTGGCTCTCCAGCTTTGGCATCCTCCCTGTGTTTAGGGCTGGGTTCCCTCTGACAGAGGGCGGCTGGTTTCTCTCCTCACCTTTGTGCTGAGATGGACCCATCACTGTGCTGGCACCCGGGACCGTGCGGTGCAAAGCAGTGCCGGGGCAGAGGATGCTCCCGGGTACAGGCAGGGCTGGTCCTTGTCTCTCAGCACTGTTTTTGCCTCTCCTTGCAGAAGAGCTGAGCAGCTCATGGAGCTGTGGTGCCAGGGCAGGGCTGTGAGCACAGCTCAGGCAGGTTGGAGGCAGGGAGCTGTGGAGCCTGCCTGGGGACCGGGCACAGAGCAGGCTGGGCAGCTCGCTCGCCTTTCCCAAAACTCATGCCATGCCCTGGATGTGCCCCATCCTCGAGGCCTGAGGTCTCTGTGCCTTCCTGAGCAGCACCCAGGCCCTTACCCCCTCGGACAAGGAGGCTGCAACCCACTGGTGCCTGCTAGTCACCAACTCTGGGTTACATTTTGGGAGGGAGGAGGATTTGTTTTTAAACAAAGGGAAAAAAAAATAAAAAGCCCCAATATTTTCTAACCTGGCCATAATAACAACCCTCTGGCTTTTATGCTGTGCTGATGCTGTGCTTGAAAATGGTCCAGTCCAGCTGAGGGACCTTCATCACGAGATGCATATTTTCCGCTGAACTTCCTGGGGAAAAGATAAACAGAAAAGAAATGCAAAAGACAGGCCCATTAGGAGCAGTGGAGTATGATGAAATGTATCCCACTGAACTTGTATGCACAGCAGTCTCATGCCAATAACAGGAGGAAAAGAAACAGAGCCAAAACTGGAGCATCCTGCTGCCTTTCCCTGGAGCCTGCTCTAGTAACTGTGAGCAAGGTTAGGGCACAGAACAAAAGATATGTAATTTTCAAACAAGATGAGAGAAACACAGGAGGCTGTGTGCAGTCAACAGTCCTCCTTGGGAGCCTGAATTTACCCCTGTGCTAATTTTATAGCTGATGGTAGCCTGCTTCTTGTTGGACATGGTTTACATTCAGAATATGATGGAGGAGGACCGAAAAGAAGGAACTCCTGGCTCACTTCAGCCGTTCTCAGCTTCTGCATCCTCTTCTGGGCTTTTGCAGCATATTTCCAGATTGGAGGGGGACTCGTGGGGCTGTGTGGGACTGGGAGGGCACTGGGAGGGCTGGAGGTGCGTCAGCCAAGGCAAAGCCCAGATGGAAAGAGGGGCCCGAGGGGGCATGTCGGGGCAGTGGGCAGGTCGGAGGCAGGAGCAGCCCGTGGCCCTGCCTGGCCCAGCGCAGCCCTGGCGCAGCCCCAGACACTCACAAATCTCCCATCAGCATCCCCAGATCATGCCGTTCACCAAAAAGAATAGATCAGGGGAGCTGTAACATAAGGCCCATCTCACTCTGGGGGCCGTGCTCTGTTGGTAGGGTCCCTTGCAGAGCGCTTGGCGCAGCCGGCTTAAGCGTGAGGGCTGAGAGCCCCCATTGAGCTGGAGGTGCCTGTGTTTGAAAACACAGTGAAAACAAAAACCACACTGCTTGTTGCAAGCTGTGGCATGTGGCCAGCGGTGCAGCCCGGGCTGAGCTTCCCCTGTGCCCTCCCAGGGGGCCGTGCCCTCTTGTCCACTTGGCAGCCCCGGGCTGAGCTTACGGCTCTTCACATTTTATTTGCCTTCCCCATCAGGAGAGCTGCGAATAACCAGCCGTGCCCTCTCGGGCCTCCCCAGCCCTGCAGAAGGCAGGGGGCTGTGCTTGCCCCCTCCCTGGGCTCCCATCCCGGCTGGATGCTGTTCCCAGCCCCGCTCAGCAGCGCTGTGATAGCCAGCACTGGGGGGACTTGCAGCCCAGAGTCAGGAGGATTTGGGCAAGGAGCCTTTTAATCACAGATCCTTTATCTGCTGCTCTTTGCCTCATGGTGGAGTGGAGGCGACTATTGGGAGAGAAGATGCTCTGATTCACTATATTCCTGCTGGGGGTGCAGGGGGACAGACTGATCCTCCTTTTCCAGTTGGGTCTCTCTCGTCCTGATCCTAGTGCTGTGCTGGGGAAAAGCTCTCCCAGGTCCCCTGCAGGGTCACTGGGAAGTGTGGGTGCTGGTGTGGCACTGCCGGCCCCTCTTCCCCCCTGCCCAGCATCCCCCAGTCCCTCTGCCCAGCCTAACTCCCCCTCTCTTCTCTGCCTGCTCCTTTCAGATAATAGACAGCGAGAATGAAGCGCTGCTGGCAGCCCTCACCGAGACATTGGATGATATACAGGGAGATGACATGGGCCTGGCTGCCTTCCGAACTATGGAAGAGGGGGACACGCTCAACCATGCCTACACCTCGCCTGCCCCCTCCCCCAAACCCACCGCCCCGGTCACGGGGGGGCCGCCCCCGGCCCCCGAGTTTGATGAGCTGTCTCTAGTAAGAACCCACTTCCTACTGTTTAAGGTGGATTTGGATGAGCCCCTGATAAGCCGGCTGCATGGGTATGATAGGAAGCAAAGGTCTGAATTTTTTCATTCTAGGCTTAAAACTCTCTTTAACCGTCAATACCAAAGCATATACTTGTATTGTATACGTATACATGTTCCGCATCATTGCTGTCACCTCCATCACCATCCTCACGGGAACAAGCTCTGTGTATACAAATATATCTCTGAAGGGGTGGGAGCGGGTGTCAAAGGGGTGGGGGCTGCTTTGGCAAGACCCACACCTGCTTTTAATCGGACGTGCGGATGTGGGGCTGCCCGGGGCTCTCCCTAGCGCATCCCAGCCCCGTGCCCATGGGCAACGGTGGCTGCTCCCTCCCGGCTCTGCCTCGGGGCCGAGCTCCCCGCTGCTCTCGCAGGAGGGACAGCGGGGGCTTGGCCGGGGTGTCAGAGAGCCCATGCCCTCAGCTTTCAGCGGGAGGGTTTGACCCCCCCACGCCTTCCACCACAACCCCCTCGGGGGCTGCGTGCCCTCCAGCCCCTACAGATTTCGTGACTGGAGCATCCCTCTTGGTTCACCGCAATATTGGGGCTCCAGCCCTGCTCCCCCTCCTGGCCAGGACTAACTGGCAGCATTTGCTGCAAACCACCGCCGTCCTCGGGAGATCCCCTGGCACAGGGGCACCCAGCCCACTCCCTCCTGGGGCTCACGGTCCCCCCCCAGGGACCCCCAGCCTGGCCCCGAGGTCTCCCCAAAAACCGGGGCTGTGGCAGGGAGGAGTGACATCCAGTGGTGAGAGCGTGCATTTCCACCGCCCACGCCCTGCGCGGGGGGGTATATATCACACACAATATGTATGTGTATATATAGGATGTATACGTTGCAGGGGTGGGGGGGGAAAGGTGCTGGTTGCTCGCACCAACAGGAGCTGCACGCCTAAAGCTGTGGGTGCCCCGGCTGACGTTTCCCGGCAGACCCTGACCTGGGCACCCCTTATTTCTATTGCCCCTTAAAAGCCCCCGCGCCCGCCCCGGGGCTCCATGCCCGCCGGCCAGCGCGGGAGCCCCAGATCTGTCTCCTCCGTGCAGTCCCCCGGCGCCTACGCAGTCGTCTTGCTGTTGAGCTGTTGTCGCCTTCGGTTGTTAGCGCGACACGGGCGGAATATGAAATGTTGTTGCTGGGTGTGGAGTTTGGTTTTTTTCCCCCTAACCAAAAAATGGTTTTGAGCAGAAGAAAAATGTTACGCTGACCTTGCCATCAGAAGTGGTGGCACTGTGGGTAACCCAGGGAAAACGCCGCTCCCACCGCCCGTGATCCTGACAGAGCGTGTTGGGGAAGATCCTCAACAGGTCCCACAGGGGCTTGCATCTGCAAAACGCCTTGAAAGCTCATTAATGAGTCGAGGCCCTATCTGGATGTTTCAGCTAAATGAGCCTTGCACGGGGACCCAAGCGAGCTGTCCAAACCTGTCACTCATGCCAATGTAAAGTCTCTGTAACCTAAAGGCAGAACTGATGGAGTGAGAAGTTTGGATGCCACGACAGCTCCTGTGTGTCTGACGGGAGCAGGGATGCCACTGGGAAGTAAATTCCCTTATGTTCCCACCTCCCTGACCTGCTTGGGGGTCCCTGGGGACGTGGGTGAATGCTGTGGAGACAGCCCCAACCCCCTCAGGGCTGTGCGTGGCCAGGCGCCTGGCCCCGCAGCCGTGGGGGAAACACCTCCCTGCCTTTTTATTTTTCCTCCCCCATTTTTGGGTCAGATGCTCAGCAATGGACCTGCCTAGCGCAGGCATGAGCCGGGGGGCTGCAGCCCCACCGGCACTTTCTCTTGCCCTCGCTGCGATGCCGACTCCTTTTCTTGCCGCTTCTCTTTGCAGCTGAAGAAGTTGCTCCTCTCTCCATCGCACGTGCCTCCGAGCTGCGAGGCTCAGCGGGACGGGAGCGCCCGGCGCCCGGGGACCCCTAAATCCCGACCCGCACGGCCCTGCACAAAGGTACTTTCTCGGCGGGCAGAGCTCGAGCCCGTCCGGCGCCCCCCTCTTGGGAGCCATCCTAAAGGAGGTCACCAAAGGATGGTGTTGGGGACCGTGGGCAGCCCCTGAGCTGGGCCAGGGGCTGGGGACAGGCGGGGACCGTCACCGCGGTGTTCCCATCCCTGTCTGCGCAGGGGCTGTGCAGTCCGGCTTCAGCAAAACCTTCAGGCTTTGTGCTGGGCTGCGAAACATCTCGATCTCATTTGGACCCAGTGGGGTCAGGCCTCTCCCAGCTTCCCTGAGCACCGGTTTGTGAAAGCCTTGCGTGCTCCCTGGCCGCCCCCTCTCCCCCCTCCCCGCTGACTCACAGCCCAAGCCGGGAGCCATCAGCCAGGGAGAGCTGCATGCCGAGCTGCAGAGCCGACCCTGTCACTTAAGCTAATCTCCTGAAACCCAGCAGAAGTTGCCATCAAAGATTTTTCTACTTGGCTAATGGTAATTGTGCGGTGCATTAGGCCCAGCAAATTAGATTGCCTGGGAAGAGCAGCAAATCCCTCCTGGCGAGAAGGAGCATCATTGCGTGCCGGCTGCTGGAGGGGCAGCGCTCGGGGCGGTTGGGCTGCCAGCTCCGCATGACCACTGGAAACCTGCTGGGGTGTGGGGCTGACCCCCAGGCACGTCGGGATGCTGGTGGGCTGGAACCGGGGGTTCGAGGATGTGGGGTGGCTCTGTCGGCCCGGGGGGCTTCTCCCCCTGTGCTTGGTACTTGTGTCAGGTCGTGACTGACAGTGTGTGACTTTCTCCTCTCTCCTCTCTAAAGGTGGAGGGTCCCCGGGACAGGAGGGCGAGCGTCCCGCAGGCGCAGAGCCGCAGCTGCACCGAGCTGCACCGGCACCTCACCTCCACCGCTCCCTGCCCCCAGACCAAAGCCCCCCGGGCACCTGAAGAGTGCCCCAGCGGCCGCCACCACCCGTCCCCGGGCGACTGCGCCCATCACGAGGATGACAGTGACTCCAGTGAGGACTCGCTGAGCTCCGGCGACTCGGTGACCCCCCCCTCCTCGGGGGAGGATGGCTCCGGCAGCCAGTTCTCCTGTGAGGGGGAGATGCACTCGGTGGTGGAGCTCATCCGCTACATGCACACCTACTGCCTGCCACCGCGGAAGCTGCCCAGCCGCGATGCCGCCGACGCCAAGCCCCAGCCCTGCAGCAGCCCCTTCAAAAGAGCCAAACCGGACTGCCCCGCGCAGCCGGGCCCCCCCGGCAGTGCCCAGAACCGGCCGGGCTGCGCCTGGCAGGCGGCAGGGGGATGCAAGAAGCCCGGAGCATCCTTCTCTATCCTGAAGGAGCTGCTGGCGCGGGACCTGCTGTGCGATGTGAGCAAGCCATACCGCCTGGGCAAGCCCGTGTACGCCGCCCTGGCCCGGCCGCCTGGCTCCCGCTCCCCTGTGCCACCAGCCCAGGATGGGGAGGATGCCGGTGGGACCTGCATATCCAGAGCCAAAACGGCACCGGAGAAGGGTGAGCCGTGGCAGAGCCCCAGGGCCGAGGCAGAGGCACTGCGGGAGCCAGCTGGCCTCGAGGACGATGCTGGGAAGCGTGCGGGCACCCCGGGCGCAGCCGCAGGAAAAGTGGCCCGCAAGCAGGAGAGCACCGTTTACGCCGTCCGCCGGTCCAAGAGACTCAACCCCGAGCTCGGCCACTGGCTCTCCTTCCTTGACGAGCCGCCCCCCGAGCCCTCCGTCCCCCGGGAGGCAGGGGATGGCCGCGGCCCCCGGGAGGCCCTGGTCTGCAGAGACCCCGCACCGTGCCCGGTGCTGGAGGGCTTCTCCGCCGAAGAGCCTGCGGCCGAAGTGGAGGTGGGGGGCACGGCACCCCCGGCAGAGCCCCAGCCCCTCTCCCTGGGCTCCCCGGGGGACGGCGAGGCGGGTGACGGGACTGAGAGCCGGCGCTGTGCCCTCCTGGAGCAAGCAGGTGAGGGGGGCCGGGGGCTGCCACTCTGCTCACCCCTCCCCGGTGCACCCGCGCTGCCCGTGCCGTCCCTGCCGTGGGCGAGCAGTGCCGGCCAGGCGCCCGGCGCTCAGCTGGCGGTGAAGCTGTGAGCAGCCCCAAGCACAGGCGAGCCCTGACCCATGTGCCAGCTGGCTGTGGGGTCCCATGCATGGGGAGTTGGGGGGCCTGTTCTGGTTTTGGGGTGCTGTTTCGATCCATAGGGGCCTTCTGCCTCAGTTTCCCCATCCTTATAACGAGATGAAGGAGTCAGTGTAGTGCTAACCCAGCAGGGAGCGGGCTGCCCCATCCCTCCATGTCCCCCTTCCCCGCGGACTCACCCTGTGCGTGGGCACCACGGTTCAGCTGCACCAGTGCCCCAAAATCGCAGCTATCCGCAAGCGCTTTGTGAGCACGAATGGCTCGATCCTGGCAGTGTTAGCCCTCCCGCGAATGCTGCTGCCTCGCAGGCAGGCAAAGCCCACCGTCCCCAGCCCCCTGCCAGGCCAGGGCAGGCAGAGGGGCCGCAGCTCCCACCGCAAGCGCTGCGGGCATTGGAGGGAGCACAGCTCCGCTGGTAACCCTGCTTCTCTCCCTGCCTTTCAGAAACACCCAGGTGTCTCACGCTGTCCTTGGCACAAACGTAAGTGCGCGTGGGGCTAAATGAACTGCGCTGGGACTGGAAAGCCGCCTCGCTTTGTCTGGCTGGGCATGCATCTGCAGTGAGCAAGCAAAGCGGCTTTTGCAGAGCAGACTGAGCCATGCAGCTGAGCGCGGGGCTGTGGGGAGCTGCGGCCATCGCTCGGGTGCAAGGAGCTCGGAGAGCCCCAGGCTGAGGGCAGGGCATTTCTGCATGCCAGGGGCAACATGCCCCGGAGCTCTGGCTGGGATGGGGAGGGCATGCTGCTCGCCCGGCTGCCCCTTGCACCCCTCCGTGGGGTTAGTCTGCCAGGCACTAGCCATGGTGGGAGGGTTTGCTTGTAGGCAGCGTTTTCTCAGCTTCCCTTTGGTTTTTGGGACTGTGGTTCACCTAAACACTTTCTCTCTCCTTATTTTCTGCTCTTCTCCAGTGACCCAACCTTTGGGAAGAGAAACTTTGAGCCGATGCTGACGGTGGAGCTGTGTGGGACAGCAGGTAGGACGGGCTTTTAATTTTTTAATTTTGCAAAAATCCTCCCTGGAAGGGGGCAAATATACCCTAAATTCAGCCTGGAGTCACCAGCTCAGGCCGAGGGGGCACGTTCATCCCTGGCCCAGAAACCCCCTTCTGCACCACGAACGCAGGAGACTTCCAGTGCACTGCCTCCGCATCCGAGCACTGCGAGCAGCTCAGGGGGATGTTTGGGATGGGGGCTGTTCAGGGGGCCCCTGCATGAGACAGGAGGGAAGGGAGGGTCCTCTGGTCCCTGCTGGGATCAGGCATCCTTCTTTTTCCTCACGTGCTGCTGGATGGATGAGGCTCCAGGGGCTGAGCAGCCTCCTCCCTCGCAACCCCTGGTGCAGCCTAGGCGCTGGGGTGGGACAGGGCAGGACGGCGGGGTCAGAGAGCTGACTCCTGCCCTTTGTTCGGGGGGGTTCAGGTCTCACGCCGCCCACCACTCCGCCGTATAAGCCCGCCGAGGAGGACCTGTACAAGCCAGACATCCCCCAGGAGCCAGGGAAGGAGGACGGGACGGCCCCCAGCCCTGGGGGCGCAGGGGACGCAGCAGCCTCCCGGAAAGCCCCCAGGAAGCACCCAGAGAGGACGGAGCTCTTCGCCCACCTCAGCCGAGCCGTCGGGCGCCCCGTGCTCCCCGAGCAGCAGGGCGTGCTCAAGCGGCCCTTCTCCCGCTCCTTCGGGGACCACGACTACTGCCAGGTGCTGAAGCCCGAGGCCGCCCTGCAGAGGAAGGTGCTCAAGTCTTGGGAGCCCCCGGGCCAGGTGGAGACAGAGCACAAGAGGAGGGTCCCGGCCGCCCACTACCAGGGGCTGGACCTCGGCGGCAAGGAGGCGGGCAGCGAGATGCTGTGGAAGGACGGCGTCAAGCAGCTGAGAGACCAGGAGATCAGAGCCAGCTTAACAAAGCACTTTGGCTTTCTGGACAGTGCTCTCGATGACGAGGACATGGTCTTCTGCAAGACCCCCGAGTATGACACTGTCTTTGAAGACAGCTGCAGTGAGAGCGGCTCCCCCTTGGAGGAGGAGGAAGAGGAGGAGGAGGAGGAGGAGGAGCACGGTGACACCAAGCTGTGCCTGCGGAGAAACCCCCTTTCCAGGACCACTTTGCATTACTGTTCCCGGAGCAGGTCCAGTTCAGGGTCTTCGTGCTGCCGGTCCCGATCACCCGCAAGCAGACGCACCTTCAGGTACAGAGGGGCCGTGGGGAGGGCACCTGGGACTGTTCTTGCCCCCTGCGTTTTTGCCCCAGTGCGTGGCAGCTCTGGCTGTCTCTGCTCTGATGGCCCAAGTGATAAAGATGCTAATTAATGAAAGAAAAACTATAGAAATAATTAGTACTACATCAGCAGCTGCTGCAAACACCAGCCATGGCCAGAGAAAGCAGCACTGGGGCAAAGCAGCCAGGGGTTTCCGTGGAACTGGGAGCAATGGGGCACGGACAGGAGCCGAAGGGGTGAGTGCCAGCTGGGAACCCCCTCTGCCATCTATCAGAAAGGACTTTCCAGTGTCCTTTCCAGTGTTTCCAGACCCCCATCTCTCCTCGGCTGCCAGTGCTCCGGAGTGCCCACCTGCCCACTGTTGCAGACACTGCGTGCCTCAGCTTCTCTTTGATGTTTGAAGCTTTCCCCACTGGATGCCCCCAACCCCCCGGGCTGACCTCCTCTCCCTCGCTTCCCAGGTGTGAGAACAGCGAGCAGTGTCAGGGCGGGAGCGGGCACCGGGGCCAGCTGGAGAAGAGACGGGAAAAGGCCATCGTAAGTGAGCGGGGACCCCACGCTGGGACAAAGCAATCCCCAGCCCTCAGTTCATCTCCCACTCCAGAAAAGCAGCAGTGGAGCCCATTAGCCCTGGCTTGAGCATCCCTTGGTGCGAGGCCAGTGTTAAACAAGGCCATGGGGATGGAGCGGGGAGAGAAAAACCCAACGTGAAGCGGAAGCTGCCGGCAATTGGCAATACGCGGAGTCCTTGGCCCAGAAATGCCCAGAGCATCCTATGCCGGTGCTTCAGCGCAGTTGGCATTGGCAATTAGCGGAGTGAGCTGGGGAATCCCTGAAGCTGCTCAGCCGTTACAGATGCGGTCCTGCCGCAGCAGCAGCCTTGTGCACTGGGAACCCGGCGTGTGCCCATGGGTGGGAGCCGGGTGGGGGGTGGGCGTGCGGGGAAATAACTTTGTCCTCTGTACTGTTGTGCGCGCGCACACACACACACACACACATGCTCACACATGCCCCTCTGGCATTTTTTTCCTGCAACGCAATTGAATTTTGCCCCTAGCAATTATTGGGAATATTTCCTGGTATCTTCAGCAGAAGAAGATGAAAAAGCTGCAGGAATGCAGGGGAAATTTAAAAGAGAAGAAGAGGGCGGTGGCTGCTTCAGCCTGGATATGGCTGTCCCCTGCAGCAGTGGTGTCCTGGGGGTGACACCTGTGAGCTAGCTGGAATGGAGACAGCCAGACCCTGGAGGTGTCAGGCTGTGCCCGCGGTGGTATTGCCCCGCTGCAGCCTGATTCCCGGTGCTGGCTTGCAGGGACTCCTCCATGGCCCCACATTTCCAGTAGCCATCAGCAGCCCCGAGGTGCAGGATCCCGGAGCCTGAAACCTTTCGCTTGCTTTGCCAGGGGGAAGGCCGTGTGGTGTATATCAAAAACCTCTCCAGCAGCATGAGCTCCAGTGAACTGAAGAAACGCTTCGAAGTGTTTGGTGAAATCGTGGAGTGTCAGGTCCTGTCCAGGACTAACAGGTGGGTGGGGAGCGAGCTGCGGTCCGGGGCTCCAGTGGCTACAGACAAACCCTCTTCCACAGGCAGCATCAGCACTGCCAGGCAGCGCAGGGTCACCCCTGCATCCAGATGTGCACGTGCGAGTGATGCGGTTGTGCCGGTGGGGTGAAGTGCTCCGTGTCACGCCAACCCCCTCGGTCAGCCGAGCCCACGGTCCTGGCGCTTTGGGCGAGGAGATGCAGTGTGTCCCCAGGTCCAAGGGCAAGGTGGGGAGCGGTGGGATGGAGGGACAGTGGAATGGAGGGCTGGTGGGATGGAGGGCTGGTGGGATGGAGGGGCAGCAGCATGGAGGGACATGGCAGGATGGAGAGCCAGGGGCACGGTGCTGGGCAGAGCCACGTCAGAGGGGCTGCGGGGCCCATCGCATCTTGAATTCTTTCTCTGGTTGCTCAGGGGGGATAAATATGGCTTGATCACCTACCGGTATTCAGAGCATGCCGCCTTATCTCTGAAGAATGGCACCTCGCTAAGGAAGAGGAACGAGCCTTCGTTCCAGCTCAGCTCTGGTGGCCTCGGGCACTTCGTCTGGACCAGATACACTGACTTGGGTAAGAAAGCAGGAGCTGCTTTTTCCAAATCATCTCGTTTATCAGCACAGAGCTGTAATGGCACATTGCGCTGCTGAAACCTAGTCACGCAAGGATCCTAAACCTCTTTAAAGCCTGCAAGAAAAGCCCACCGGCTCTCCCACGGCTCACGTAGCTGCTCTTAGCTCAGTCAGATGGCTTGGGAAACTGGGGGGAGAGAAGAAGAGCAACTGGCGTGAGGACCCAGAGTGTGTTGGCTGCAAAACATAGCATCACGCCCCAGGGCTGCTGGGTCTCAGCTGACCACAGCCCATCCTGTCTCTGCTGCATTTCTCCACAGCACTGGATGCTTTCCAGCAGAGAAGTCCCTTCCCAGTCATTAGAGAAAGCAGTCAGCCACATCTCATTAGCCCAAGAGGTGATCTGGGTGGTTTGCTGCTCTGCAGGACAGATTCACTACACTGCACGTGCACTTTTGAGCCAAAATGATGGCACTGTAATGTGCTGTGGTCGCATTAACTCCTTCTGTGCTGTATGGGCTTCTGCAAGACCTCCTGTCTCGCTGGGCAACAGCATTAGCCGGGGTTTTGCTGGACCCCGTCCCTCCCTGGGTGGTAGGGCTGCAGCCTGAGCTGAGGGACAGGAGTGAAACCCTGTGCTAGTCCTGCAAGAGAACTGTGATCCAGGCTTCGCTCAGCCCTCGTGACTGGGATCTTCAGGTGTTTCACGAACACGGGGCATTTATTTCTGTACCCTCTGCAGGGGGTGAAGTGGTTCTAATATCCCACTTCATGCGTGAGAGACTGAGGCCCAAAAAATAAAGCCCTAAGTCTTGACTTATCTGTAGATGCCCAGTCTGACACAAGTACTGCTTGATCTTTTAGCACCTTATAATATCTCATCTGCTCAGAGCAGCAATCCCTCTGACTTTGGTTGTGGGCGCAAATGCCCATGTTCATCTACATAAGTCCCTCTCATTTTGGGCACAGAGAAGATAGGTAACAGATAGCACCCCATGATGAAGATGTTGGCACGTGGCTGCGCAGTGCTGCGGGGAGGGGGGCCAGAGCTGCCCCCCTGCATAAGAGAACCTCCCTCAGTGCTCCTCACCTGCAGATTGCTGCAAGGCCAGCAGTCAGCCCCGTATTGCACAGCCTGGCTCGTTCCTAAAACCCTGCTCGCCCTGGTGCACGATGAGAGGCAAAGCCCACAGGCAGAGGTGAAATGCAACCGTGCCATTCATGGCTCGTTCAAAAATATACACCCAAAAGCTGCTGTTAAATTAGGCAGCCTTATTTCTGGCATTTGCTGAATTTCCCAGGCTTTGCGGTGGCACTGCTTGTTCAGCTTCTGACCGACGGCTGGGTTGCAGGCAGGCAACCTCCTCCCCATGACCGGCACGGCTTCTGCGGGGACAGCCTGTGTCAGCACCTCAGAACTCAGCTGCATCCCGCAGATTTTTGCGCGCCTGGAAAGGGGTGTCTGTGGTGTGTGACCTGCCGGGCTGGGCACCGCTACAACCCCTCTGCCCAACAGCTCCTTGTCGATGAGGGAGAGGCAGCACCGTCCCCGTTCCCTTTCGCCATCACCGCCTCGGCCAGGCTGGCTTTGCGGTGCCGGGATGCAGCATGCCGGTAGCGGGGGAGCAAGCAGTGCCCTGGCGTGCCTCAGTTTTCCTCCTCGCCAGGCAGCGAGCGTGCCTAGCGCCCTGCTCCCTGACCCATCTGCCTTGTATCCCTGCCGTTCCCAGATTGCAGCGTGGAGGAGTCCTCCCCAGCTCCAGTGAAAAGCAAGTACGAGACCATGGATTTCGACAGCTTGCTGCAGGAGGCCCAGCTAAGCCTGCATCGGTAACAGCCTTAACCTTGGAGGAATACCTCAATACCTCAGTCAAGGCACTTCCAATATGTTTACGTTTTCAAAGAAATTATTCAGTCTATGGAAAGTGAGAGAGAGCGAGAGAGCGAGAGCACGCACGCACGAGAGAGAGACTGCTGTCCCTTCCGATCGATGTTTACATTGAACAAAGCTGCTTCTGTCTGTGAGTCCCCATGGTGTTGATGTCTCACTGCCACACGTTAGCCCCCCCCGCTTCTGACTGGTTGTTTTAGGGTGAGCCTAGGAGCCCCCCACCCCCTCTCCCCCCTCCTGGCCCCCCCGGTGCTCCCGCCGCGGAGTTGCAGCTGTGTTCACCATAACATTTTTTTGTCCGTAGTGTGTGATGATGAAATTGTTAATTGTGAATAGAATCAGGATTATAAACTAATTTTTAATAGAAGAAGAGAAAAAAAAGTATATACTTAAAAAATGTATTTATGGCTCAGATGTACTGTAATTCAGATTTATTGTACCGCTTCCTTGATTTTTTAACTATGCACTGTAATGAGGCACTTGCCACTCAGCAAATGGGGGGTCAGAGCAGAGTCATGGAGCCAGCATTCACCTGTCGGCCATGGAGGCACCCGCCTTCCCTGCCGGCAAACCGGGGTGCTCGGCAGTCGCATCGGGGTCACCCACTTTGCTGTCAAAGCCATTCTTCTTGCTCGCGTGGCCCGAGTCCCCCAGCCCCTCCAGCCCCCAGCCCGCCTGGGTCGCGGGACCCAGATGCTGAGCTCGGTCCTGGTGCGTGATGGAGCCGGCGGGCGGTGGGGCACGCCAGCCCCGTGCCATTCTTGCTGTGGGGCCGGGCAGCTTTGCAGGCATGAAGGAGAGGGGTGGTAAAAGGATGCACTGCCCGGGGGGCTGCCAGCGCTGCTCCAGCCCTCCGCTGCCTTTGGAGCCAGGAGAGAGTGGCCAGAGCCGGCCAGGCTTGATCCGACGGGTCCTGCCGGCACAGCCTGGGGGATGGATGCCTCCGCGTCCCTGCGAGGGAGCTGGCTTCTCTCCGGCTCCTTGGGCAGCTGGGAGACTGGCCAGGCCGAGCGGCTTGCTCCCTGCTCGCTTCCACCCCCTGCAAAGCGAGCGGGGCGAGAAGATCTGTCTGTGATCCCTGCCCGGCAGCCAGCCCAAAATCCAGGGAGGCAGGAGCGGGGCACGGCAGCCGCGCTGAACGCCCACCCTGCCTGCGCTCTGCCCAGTACCTGATAAGCCATACACTTCCCCAGCACCCAGTTGGCACCCAGGATCTGTCCCCCATGCCCACCAGTGCCCCATGGCACGCTTGCCCGCTCTGCTTCTGGCTGGGGGCCCTTGGGGCTGCCTGGCAGTGCTGGATTTAAAGCGTGCTCAAGCAGCACCCCCACAAAATCTGCTTGCAAACTTGCCCTCCATCTCCGGGCAAAGAGGGAGGGGGAGAGAGCCCACCACCGGCTGGAGCAAACCCCACCACGCGCTGGCCAGAGGCACTGTTTTCCTGAGGGAGCGGGAATCTGGCTGCATTCCTCAAGCCATCGCCATCGTCTCCATTTATTTTTCAGGCCCAGGGACCACTAGGGATTCAGCCATCCTATGTAGATAGAATATTATAGCCTTAACTCTGCCAATAGATAGATTAGAGTCTCCTGGGGTCTCCCCTCAACATGACTTAGGGGTTTTATTCTCATTTCCCTGGCGTGGGTACTCTTTCGTCTTGCAGGGAGCGTGACCAAAGCCTCTGAAATTGCTTGAGGTGCAATGCCGAGAGCCTGCGTGCTGCCGAGGTGGCCCTTGGCTCCGGGGCCACGCGTGCAGCTGGTCTCTGGCGGGAGCAGGAATGCCGGCAGCGCCGATACCAGCACTGTTACCCGGCTATTTCCCTCCGCTTTTGAGGGAGCCGTGGTTCTGACGACGACCAGCCCGGCAGCGCGAGGGCCCACGGGCCGCTGTGGGGTTTGAGCTGCGGGTCCCCAATCTGCCGCCGGCGACGATCGCTGTCAGGGAACGGTCCTCGTGCCATTGCAGTCTCAGCAGCGAGGTTCGGCATCTCTCCTGCCACGAGCTCCCCCCACTTGTCATCCCACCTTAGCAAACACGAGTCGCTCTGGCCGAGACTGAGCATCTGCTATTGGCAATTGCCTCATTGTAGCTTTGCCTTTTTCTGTCCTAGTATTTCCTCACAACGATGATGTTTACATGTGATTGCTATAGAGCTTATGTAGAATGTATATAGCGACACATTTAGGGTGGGTAGTACTGTCCTGTGCTGTGCTGATGTTTTTCAGAAAACGATCAATCCAAAAAACCAACAAAAAAAAGCAAAGTAAGTGGAATTCTTCCATCTCCCGCTCAGCCAGCGGCACCGAGCCCCCACGGCCGGGCCCCGCTGGGGATGCATCAAGCGTGGCAGAGGGGAAGGGTTAGTGCAGAGCTGGGGGGAGCCCTCTCCTGGGGGATCACTCAGTCGCTTCCCAAGCATTGGTTTTGGTGTACCCAGATACAAAATTTCCCATTGTTTTCCTGCGGCTGGGCGCCCCGGGTCGTCCCGCAGCCCCTGCCCGTGCCTGGCTTCTGGATATCAAGGCCGGTGCTCTGGAAGGGGAGGGCTCGTCCTGCACAGAGCCGATCAGTACTGCACCCGTAGGGTAGGAAGAGATGCAATAAGTGGTCTTTGTGGTGCCTGAAGCCTATAAGTGGGGTTGGGTGGTTTGTTTTTTTTTGGTTTGGGGTTTTTTCTTTTTTTTTTTCCATTAAATTGGGATGGTTTGTTTTCCCTCCTCCCCCAAGAAATTTCTCCAGGACTTACGCACTATGCACAGAGGCGTGCAAGGCACAGAGGCACAACTGTGGCTGGGGCAGCCCTCTGCTGCTGCCCGTGCTTGCCAGCCCATCGCTGCAGCAGGGAAAAGCAGGGGGCACGCGCTGTCAGCCCCAGGGGCTTCCCCTGACTTTTAGGACTGGGTGAGAGTGGAGGGTGTTCAGCTCAAGAAGCACAGGTCTGCTGGCTTTAGAATTCCTCATGCAGGGTTTGTGGTGAAAAATAAGTTTCTGCTTGATTTTTTTTTTTTTTTTTTTACTGTAAAGGTGTCTGTAGCTCACAGTGCTTGAGTCTGCAAAGGGGCAGGAAGGAGGGCTCAGGCACAAGGGGCAGGTGAGAGCTCACTCCCTTAGCGACCTGTGACTATGACTGTTTTGGATGCTAATGGAGAAATGGGGCAGGAGGAAAGCAATGCCCGGGCACTGCGCAGGGAGAGGCAGCCCGCACCACCGGGGAAGTAAGAGGCACCCAGCGCTTTGCGGGAGCTGCGGGGGCCGGGGCGCAGGGATCGACCCCCTCCGAGGATTAGCTTTATGCCCCGCCCAGCCGGTGGCATCGTGGCAGGTGCGTGCCCAGGCGTGGGTGCAGCTCAGAGCTGGGCGCCCCGAAAAGGGAACCCTTGCACCCCGGTCCCCACGGCAGCCCCGGGAAGCTGCCCCCCGCCGCCTGTGAGGGCCGGGGCTGCGGGGTGGGTAGGAGCGCTACTTCAAAGAGAAACTGGGAGCAAAAGGGTATATTACGGTAGGCAATAAGTAAGGAGGAGATTTATTTTTTTAAAAATATATAACTATAGAATGTCCCTCAGTAGTTCCCTGCAGGTACTGTGGGGAAATGCTGAATGTGAAGAGTTTTGTGACAAAAAAGCCCCTTTGCTTTTTTTGCACAGATTTGCCCCAGAAAAGCTCATTGTTCAGGGTGGGGTACCAGGTTTCTGGTGGGAATCCCGTGGGTCCCTGGGGCTCCGCAGGAAGGAGCAAATGTTTCTGAGTGTCTGGGCTGAACGCAGAGGACAATCCCGGGTTTTCGGTTCAGTGCTGCCCCAAAGAAAAGGTTTGTCCCAATTCCTACTCAGCACAGCTAGCTGGGCTGCACATCTTCTTTCACGAAGTGGCAGCTCAGTCACAACATTACAGTCTTGAGTGTCTGATTTCAGCACTGGTCCGTGCAAAGGAGTGTTGCAATTGCAGACCAGAACTTTTTTTTTCTTTTTTTTTCTGTTTTGTTTTTTTTTTTTCTTTCTTTTTGGAAGTATGCTGAATACTGAGATACATTGTTGTTCATAGCTGAGCCCTGACACCCTTTCTGTTCTAAGCGTCGTAGTCCATCCCCGACAATCTCAAGCAATATAGAGCCAAATGCAGCCTTTGGGTTTCATTCCTCTTCCCTCGCCCACCCTGGGGTCAGGGGTGGCAGCGGCAGCCTGGCCGCAGCACCCACGGCCACGGCCACAGCACCGAGCCGAGAGCCACGCTGTGGTAAATACGGAGTTGGGGAGGGAGTGTGTGTATGCATGTGAGAAAGAGAGAGAAAGATTAAATTGATGCATTTCTTGAGAAAGGTGTAAGAATTTCACCTAAAAAGGGGCACATCTGCTTTGTTATTTATAAAAAAAAAAGCTAAATTCTGTCTTTTTCTTCTTTTTTTTTTAAGTAAAAGGACACTGCTAATAATTATTAGGGGCCAATTCTGCCTCCCTTCCTCATGCTGAGTAAGTACTACTTAACTCTGCAATTTTCTACTTGCAGAGTAAGTAAAACTAGCAGAATTGACCCCTCTGTGATTAAAAATCAAGTTTTTAGTCTGTTTTTTTTTTAATTGGTAGTGGTTTTTTATATTTTACTTAATTTTTTTCCCCAGTTCCGTTCCGTTGTGTCCTTATTTATGTAATATACTTTAACCTTAAAAGATGGCATGGATTCTTATGCCTTTCCTTTATTATTATTGTTATTATTTTTAAAAAAGAGATTTATTTCTAGTGTGATTTAACTGTCTACCTTCTAAAACGAGAGAACGTTTTCTTGTATTTTTACATTGTCAGATTCTATAGTTTCATAGATAATTTAACCAAATCGCTCAATGTATTATCTATATCTATCTGGTGGGTATAAAAGTTCTATTTTAAATTGTGTAAATACTTCAGAACTGGCTTCTTTTTTCCAGACTCCCCTGCCGTGGAGTTACTTGTTTACATCAAAAAGACTGTAGAATCTCTACGCTCATGTACTGTAAATAGTGAAGTGATCTGCCTATAACTAAATGATAACATATATACTATAAAGTGGAAAGAAAAAAAAAAGGAACAAGTCTGTGCCGCTAATACTTTAGTTTATCAGTGCAAGCCTGCTCTGGTTTTGCTTTGCAGAAGGTGCTCTCCTGCATCTGCCTGGCCGGAATGGGATGGAGGGGGCATGGCTGGGGCCGGGGGGGGGGGTGGAGTCCCCCAGCTCGCTCACACCAGTGCTGCACCACTGCCAGGGATGTGGCTCCTATGGGGGAACATCCCTGTATATTGCTATTTTAAGTGTGGCTTCTTCCAGTTTAACTCATGCAGGAGAAGCCTGGGCTCCATACTCTGGACTTTGGGAGCGGTGCCACTGCCGCAAGACCCGTCCAGAAGAAACCCCCCGGACTGGATGGTTAAAAATGAAGTGGGGCACCTCAGATTTGCTTGAGTGGGATTAAGAGAGCAAAGGGCTGGATTCCAAGAAAAAGTGTGGAAAAGACTCCAGATGGCGATGCAGCAACTGTACGGCTCAGGACGGCACCTGGAGAGCCCCCCCAGTACCAGGAGAGCAGCCCCCGGGAGCCAGCCTGCTCTCCCAGAGGCACTGCTGAGGTGGCCGAACCGCTGTTTCCCAGCACAGGGGCTCCTGGTGTCCTGGTCACTGTGGGAGCCCAGGCTGTGGAAGGGATGGGATGGAAAGCCCGGGGAGTTGGCAGCAGCACGAGGGCAGCTCCCCTGCAGCACCCGGCACATGGGAGCCCAGCGCCAGCCATCACCCCTGTTGGGCTCGCCAGGTCAGAGGTGTTGCACTGAATTTATCCAGAGCATGGCACGGTGATGCTGCCAGGCGGGAGGACCTCAGCAGCCCTAAAGGAAGAGGTCTGCAAGGTGCTGAGCTGTCCCAGCTATTTTTTTTCTGCCAATTTGCACGGATTTAGGCAGCTGCCCTAGACCTGCCCGCCTCCAGCACAGCACAGCCAGAGGCAGCCCAGTGCAGGTCCCTCTGCCCAGCCATAGAGCCAGAGCCAGCCTCCTGCCCCCAGCCCAGCCCCTCGTCCCTACAACTGCTGCACCCCAAGTGGAGACGTGATGGGAAGCCCATTTCCCTGCTGCTTTCCAAAAAAACCCCAGGCCTCAGGGCCACCAAACAGGAATATTTTTCTAAGATACATCAGGGCGCAGTGACGCTGCCAGTGCCAGGACAGATTAAAACATGAAATTGCAAGGAGGAAATGTGGGGATGCAGCTGGGGCAGCCGGTGTCAGGGTGCCCAGGGTGGGTGCAAGCATGAGCAGAGGCACGGGAGCGGGGTCCCTGGCTGGCAGGGCTCCAGGATGGAGCGGGGTCACATGAAGGAAGGGTCTACACGGAGGGACAGACCCACAGCTGACGCTTGTCCTCCCAGCCTGACCTGCGCCATCCGGCACTGCATTCCCAGGGAGCTTCCTGGAAAATCAAGGACTGATACTGTTGATGGAGTACTATCCTGCAAGCAGACCTAGAGACTGAAGGGAGCTGTTGGTGAATCACAAAATCAATTCAGCAGCTCCATTAGTCCCAGCAATTACTTCCAGCCATTTGGAAAAAAACCCAATGCAACAGTTTCCATTTTGGTATAACTTTGAGATAAAACAGCTTCTTTTCACACAGACGGGTGCTACTTTTGTAGTAGCTTATATGGCTGCTCTCCAGCTGCCAGAGGGAAGGGAGGTGGCGTTATCTCCCGTACTGGGCATACCGTGCCTTGTGGGAGGGGAAAATAAGTCAGTAACGGGCTTTTGTGAATAGGGACAGCTTTTGTCTCTGACGTTGGCTGACTGGCACCTGGCAGGCAGTGTGGGCAGCAGGTAGCGTGGGCAGCAGGTAGCGTGGGCAGCGCACGCAACGCAGGCAGCAGGCACCGCAGGGGCTGCAGCGGGCAGTGTGGGCAGCGAGGGCAGGGTGGCAGTGCCTGCATCTGCCCGGCTGAGCTGGGCTGGCTGAGACCACGGCTGCCCCGGGCTCCACCGGCTTGGTGGGATCCCCCCAGCCCCATGGGCAAAGACCCACAGAAAGGCCCGTGGGTGGGCAGGGGAGGCAGGGGCACAGCAAGGCAATGCTTGGAAACGCCACGCCAGGCTCGTGCTCCCGACTGGTGTGAAACCCCTGTTGCTTGGGATTTATTCACTGTCCTGGGCTGCCCTTTGGAGTTGCAGCTCCCACCCGTGCCCTGGGCAGTGACATCTGACACCAAATCCTCCTCTGGGCTCTTCTAAGCACAGGAGCTTCCAGCTCCCCGACATGGACTTCAGCTTCTGGGCCACACACAAAGTCTGTCCAGGAGGCCCTGGAGGTCATACTTCCAGTAATGTACACATCTGCACACTCTCAGTATTTATCAGTCCCAGCTTGTTGTCCAGGTCCATCTAGGTGTCTTTGCAGGGAGAAACAGGGACAGGTCTGGTTTCTCTGCTCCCTGCCAGCTCAGGGACCTCTCTGCCGCCCTGCCCACAGCAGCTGCCTGCATGCCCACAAGGGATGCCTCCCAGCTTTCCTTCCTGCTCCCTCCCAAGCTTTGCATCTCACTCCCTAAAGCACCTACAGCTCCTACCTCCTGTGCTTGCTGTGTGTCTTTAAATGCCAGTGGAGAGCTTTCTCCAGGTGCTGCTGGTTTTGGGTCCCGCAATCTCTGTTCCCTCTTTCTCTCCCCCTCAGTCCTTGGCTGGATACGTTTTAATTTTTCATGCACCATCTCTGCCTCCAAATACCTTTTCAAACTCAGACTTGGACCCCTCGTGTTTCTCAGCAGCATCCTGCAGGTAAGAAGGCACCATCCTCTCCCCACCGGCTTTTCTAGCACTAACCCCACTCCACTAAAACGCCACCACCCTGCTGACTCTGAGGGAGCGTTTCCAGCTCCTTATGTCTGCAGGCTCTTTATGTCTGCAGTGCACAGTGGGCCATGCTCGGTGGTGGCTGAACAGACCCTTCGATGACCAGGGCAACGGCAGCAAATCTGCCCCGGCAGCAGCTGCGATGGGTGAGGTGCTGGTACGGGGCTCTCAGGAGGCAGCCGGCTCCGCACAGCAGTGCTGGGGCTGCTGCTTCTCTCCGTTTCTAAGTGTCTCTGCTTCCCTTTCAGCTTGACATCCACAAGGACCCCTCCTTGCTCCTGCAGTCATGCTTTGATCACCACGAGCAAGCGGCTGCCCGAGCGGAGGCTGAGCACTGAAGGAATAGCAGAGGGCTGGAGAGAGCAGGGCAGCTCAGGTTTGCCGGGAGCTGCCCTCTGCCTGCTGGTCAACAGCCCATGGAGCAGAGGGAAGACACCTCCTCATCGCCTTAATAATAGCGATGATTTTAGAGGAAAACTGTCTACACTGCAGTAGCGCACAGAAGCACATGATGCCCTGGGCTCTCAGTAGCCCCTGAACCATCGAAGGCTGACTGCTCATGCACAACCTGCTAGAAGAAGGGCACAGAGAGGGGTTAGATTGCCCTGGAGCCTGGCACACGCTGCCTATCATCTGTATCTGCTTGCGCTGGTTTCGGATCACTCAGAGTCTTCATTGCAGTGCACCTGCAAAATAGCGGTGTCTGCCTGGAGAGAGGCAGGGAAAGGATTTAGCTCACCACTGCTAAATGGGCAAACTCTTGGGTGAAGCCCTGGCTTTCGTCGCCACCACCATCTCCATTCATCACTGCCAGCTACTGAAAGTCAGCTCCAGGCAGCAAGTCAGCAGTCTGAGGAGAAAAGACAACTTGTGCAATCCCCCCGGGATGTGGGGCTCTCCCTTGCACACTCAGACGGTGGAGGGAGGGATGCTGCTCCGAGCATCCTCACTCCTGGGATTCAGCTTGCCTTCAAGTTTACGACCAGGAAACAGAAGTCCGTGTTTGCTCTAGTGGGTTTTTGCAATCAGTCAAAGCCAACCAGCACTGAAATACTGTTGTATTTAAAAATTATACAGAAAAATAAATGCATCTGGCAACCAGCTATCGCTCTCTCCACAGTGCTTCTGGTATAAGCTCTATCCCTGCTACTTAATCTACCCTCCCTTCAGTGCTGCCGGTGGGGGGGACCCCCACATCAGTGTAGCTGTGAGGCCGAAGGGAAGAGTTAAAAAGGCTGTTTGGCTGCAGCCATGCACCATTTTGCCATGCAGGCTGCCCACAAGCGGCCCAAGAGATACCAGCAGATTATTTACAGTGGCCATTGCCTGCAGCTTCCAGCATCTACTGGCTATCTAAACTCCTGAAGGAAATTAAGGAAACTAATTTTTCTTCAATGAAAGGATTAAGAACTTTAATTAATGAAGGGTAAAGAAAGATTTTAGGCTAGGCGATTTGCAGGCAGCATGTGCAACAGCAAGGCTGCAGCAGCATGCAGTGGTGGAGCAGCAGCTTGTCTCAGCCTGCGTCTGCAAGCATGGCACAGTAAGTAACCCAGAGCAATCCACAAAATCCCCACAGGCTCCCGTGTGGAGCGAGCCCTTCTGCAGCCCTTGTAGGCTCCAAGCAGATCAAACAGAGGATTTTTCCTATGCAGCACCAGGTTTGGGGGTTGGGATACACACAGCAGCATGGCAGTCAGCTGGTGCCATGTGCACTAAGGGCAGCATTTGCAAATGCAAGTTCTGCCATGCTAGAGGAGTGGGGAAGGGCAATGGGAAGCAGTAGGTTCACGTGCTTTGGGGGAACAGCAAAGCCAGGTGAGCACTGCATACAGTGTTAGTCGTGTTCGAGACAGCTGTGGAAAAGGGATTAGCAGTAGCAAAGTGTGAAGCCCCATGGAGGGGAGAAAAAATAATGATAAAGGACACAGTGGTTAGGAACGAGAATAAGAAACATCACTTAGAAACTACAGCTGACATCTGAAACATCCCCATTCAGTGGGCCGAGGTCATAAGAAAGCATTAGGGAGCAGGTAATAGGCAGCAAGCTGCAAATGACCTTGTGTTCTGACACAGAGGGAATAATTCTACCTGCCCCAGGTGGGTAGCATCATGTCAGAGAGGACTGAGAGGGAAATACCATCAGGAAGAGATTTATATGATGAATTCTTGTAAAATAACCAAAATAAATATTGCTTCTCTGGGCATGTAGCCAGGTACAGAGTCCTTGCCTCGACAGTAGCTCAGGAGTCTCGCTTGGTTCAAGTAATACGTGTTTAACAAGTCCGCAGGAACCCAGGAGCAACCAGAGCAGCCCAGTAACACCAGCCTTTGCAAACACCACAGGCAGCAAGGTCTCTGCCACGGGGACACACACCATTTTTTGCTAGGACACTTACTAACAGTGTGCTTTGTGCCAGCAGCTTTTCAACAGCTTCTCAGAGTAACGGGACAGGGAGAAGAGGGAAAGGAGTAGCTTTTAAAATATTAAAAAGAAGCTGCCTCCATCCTCCTCTCTCCCCTGCTCCTGCAATGAAGGAGCCTTTTATTCCCTCCTGTTTTAGGAGAAACTAAGGCTTAGCAACTCCAGGGAGGAAAGGGGGGAGCACCCCCGAGCAGGTCCCGGAGGAGGGCTGGGCCCTGGCATGGCCACCCAGCCGAAGGGCAGCGGGGGAAACGTCCTTCATTCTTCCAGCTTTCTTCTCGGCACTCAGACGCTGAGGGGAGGCGGGAGCCTGGGCAGTCCCGGGCCGGTGGGCGCAGGGGCCGCCTTTAAGGATGGAGGATCGCCAGGTGCCCCCTCAAGAAACGCCTGCGCGAGGCCTGGGGCGGAGAAGGGTCGGGCGGGCCGCAGGTGGGGGTCCCGTTTCCCGGCCGCCGCCCTCCCCGCGTGGGCAGGGGGGGGCTCTTCGCCCCGCTCCCCCCGAGCTGCCGGAGCCGCCTGCGGGCTGGCGGCG